ATTCGCAGATGATGTGGTCCTGATATTCTCTGGAGATAAAGCACTGGAAGTGCAGGAACGGGCCAATACGGCCCTCGCACATGTTCGGAGGTGGGGAGTCAAAAACAAGCTTAAATTTGCTTCACAAAAAACAAAAGCCATGATCATTACGAACAAGATCAAATATGACTCACCACTTCTGAAGATGGGCGGGGAAAGCATAGGCCTGTCCAAAGAAATAAAAATACTCGGCCTCACAGTTGACGATGGGCTGACCTTCAACGCGCATGTCAAAAACGTGTGTTGTAAGGTACAGAACCTATATCGTCAGCTGTGTAGGGCCGCAAAGATTCATTGGGGTTTGAACTCCGAGATTGTCAGGACCATATACATAGCGGTAGTAGAGCCTATAATTTTGTATGCGGCAAGCGCATGGGCACCAGCAGCGAATAAAATAATGACCAAAAAGCAACTTGATATGGTGCAACGTGGGTTCGTACAAAAAATAGTTAGATCGTATAAAACCGTTTCTTTACACTCGGCTCTGCTACTCGCCGGGCTGCTTCCTTTGGACTTGAGGGTCCGGGAAGCAGCCTCCCTTTATGAAGTAAAGAAAGGCTTCTCCCGACGAGTAGTAGAAGATCGAGACATGGAGAAAAAGGTGGAATACGCAATGATACCACACCCAGCAGACGAATATGGCCTGCAATATACATGTCTGGAGGACGGTGCACAAATGGACCAACATGACAATAAAGGCCTCAAAATATACACCGATGGTAGTAAAATTGAGGGGAAAGTCGGCGCTGCATTATCCATTTGGAATGATGCAGCGGAGACAAGTACCCGGAAATTAAAGTTGGGAAATTTCTGCACCGTCTTCCAGGCGGAGTTGCTCGCTATTCGAGAAGCATCCACGTATGCGCTAACACATCCTGCGCTTAATTGTCACATATACAGCGACTCTATGTCTGCTCTCCAGACAATTGTACAAAGCAATTCCCTCCATCCCCTAGCGGCAGAGACTAGAAAAATCATACGTGAAATGAAAAAGCGAGGGAAAACCCTTAAACTCTTTTGGATAAAGGCTCACGCAGGACTGGAGGGGAACGAGAGAGCAGACAAACTAGCCAAAGAAGCCGCACTAAAAATAAAAACAAGACCGATCTATGAGAAATGTCCAGTTTCATTCGTTAAGCGACAGATTCGTCTGAGCTCGCTTGACGAATGGAACCAAAGATATATTAAAGGTGAAACAGCCTCCAATACGAAAATATTCTTTCCCGGCGCCATTAATGCCTACCATGTTATTAGAAAATTAGAAATAAATCCAGAAATTGTACAAGTGATAACAGGACATGGCGGGTTCTCCGAATATTTATACCGATTTAAATGCAAGGAGAGCCCGGTATGTGCCTGTGATCCAGAAAGAGAGGAGACGGTCGTACATCTTATAACCGAATGCCCTATTTATAGTAGAGAAAGAATAGACTTAGAATTAGAAATAGGAATTAAAGTAAGCAAAGATAATATAAATAAAATAATTAGTGATAAACATGTTAGTAATAGGTTTCTAAAGTATTGTAAGAATATAGCACATAAGGTGAAAAATAAGAATAAATCGTAGTAGCAATAGGGAACTGTAACATAATATATATAAATATATAATGTAAACAGCCCACATAAAACAAGTAGAAATAAGAAATAGCTATAGAAACTATTGTAACTAGAATAAATTAGATAAGGAAAAAAGGAAAAGAAACGTATCCTTAAATGAAATAAAGAAAACAGAAATAAAAATAAAAAAGAATAAAAAACACAAAAAAGAATAAGAATGTAAAATAAAAAATAAGAAAACAAAGAACATAAAAGATGAAAAAAGTCCCTGAGTTCCACATGTCAGGGGAACTAGATAAAAAAAAAAATAAAAAAAAAAAAAAACCTAACCTAACCTAACCTAACCTAACCTAACCTAACCTAACCTAACCTAACCCAACCTAACCTAACCTAACCTAACCTAACCTAACCTAACCTAACCTAACCTAACCTAACCTAACCTAACCTAACCTAACCTAACCTAACCTAACCTAACCTAACCTAACCTAACCTAACCTAACCTAACCTAACCTAACCTAACCTAACCTAACCTAACCTAACCTAACCTAACCTAACCTAACCTAACCTAACCTAACCTAACCTAACCTAACCCCTAACCGTCGTCTGTAGACGATGAACAAAAATTCGCTAAAGTTCTTCGCAGAACTAAAGGCAGGACACGAGACCTAATCAATGTTATTCTGGAAGTCACGCCGCAAATGTGGATTCGACTAAAGGACCAGAAATTGCGTATAGGTTTTCAGGTAATCCCCTGCTTTGATCAGTCTCCTCTTATACAGTGCTACAAGTGCCTGAAATTCAATCATAGAGCGAAAGATTGCACAAATGACCTAATCTGCGGGTACTGCTCTGGAAGCCATGATACAAGGACATGCTCGAACAGAAACGTGGCTCCATCCTGCAATAATTGCAACAGATCGGGTAAAGAAAATGCTACCCATCCCGCATATAGCCCCGAGTGTCCAGAGTGGCAAAAATGGGACAATATATCAAGGAGCTCTGTGTCATACTGTTAAGACTTGGTTTACCAAACTAATGAAACAGGAACACCAGGTAATCTCGATAGCAAAAAAATTGTTAAAGTGGCACAATACAACCTTGATCGAGGCCGCGCGGCAACACTTGAGTGCTTACGGGCTGCAACCACACAAGGCTTTTCCATCATATTGATGCAGGAACCTTATGTTGGGGCAAAGGCACACTTAACTGTGGGCCCGCAATACCGTGTAATCCAAAAAGTTAGTAATGACATCAATAAGCCAGTGAGATCTGCAATAGTTGTCTTAGACCCTAACATTAACTTCACCATTAACCCAAACATACTAACCGAAGACATCGTAGGTATAGTACTAAAAATAGGTAATCTTAACATTGGCTTCATCAGCATCTACTTGCATGAAAAAGGCGTAATTGAAGAAGACTTAATAACGATTAAGAATTTTGTGAAAGCAATGCAGACAGAAGATATTATCATCGGTGGCGATGCAAATGCCAGTAGCATCTGGTGGGGCTGCAAAGCAGATGACAACAGAGGAACACAGGTTATGGAAACATTAGCTGAACTTAACTTGGAGGTAGTTAATACGGGAAAAAAGCCTACTTTTAGTGCATACAGAAGAGACACCATCTGCTCCAGCATTATAGACATTACCGCCTGTACAACATCACTATTGCATAAGATTGAGAATTGGAGAGTTGACGATTCCTTTTGCACTTTATCTAATCATAAGCCAATTCTTTTCAAATTTAGTACGACAACTTCATTTATTGAGTCAAAAATCAACAGCACCAGGAAATACAACACAAGGAAAGCAAACTGGAGCCATTTCAACGTTGAACTCAAGAGGGCACTAGACAACAACGGCCTAACCAAAGAAAGAATAGGAGTTATTAGGACGACACAGGAGATTGATGAATTCGTAAAAACATATACAGAATGCATAACAAAGGCATGCGATGAGACGATTCCGAAAATAGAACGAAAACAGTTACCAAAAGCCGCTAAATGGTGGAACACCGAAATTAAAGAAAAAAAGGAGATCATGATCAGATTACGAAGAAGAATAAGGAATGCACACCCTACAAGAAAGAACTGGGTCATAGAACAATATCTCGAAGCACGAAAACAATATAAGGAAAGTATAGAAGACGCCACAACCAAAAGCTGGAAAGAACTATGCACGAACGAGCAGAAAGAAAACGTGTGGCAACGCACATATCGGATATTGAAGGTCTGTTCTAATGTGGAGGGAGACAAACTGCTCAAAGACCAAAATGGGACAATCCTTTCAGAAAAAGGGTCAGCAACACTTCTAGCTGAAACCTTTTACCCCAAAGATAATCCAAACACCGATACTAAGGAACAGGATGACATAAGAACAAAAACAAATGAACTTATAGCACAACTCGAAAACAAAACATTAGAAGTTAAGACACCATTCGCTAGAACTGAAATAGATCAAATACTAAGCAATATGAGTCCTAAAAAAGCCCCGGGTGAGGATGGCCTGACATCCGATATATGCCAAACAGCTTATAATAGTAACCCAGAAGTGCTGGAACTACTCTACAATAAGTGCCTCGAACTGGGATATTTCCCCAAAGATTGGAAAAAGGCAACTATTAAAGTAATCCCAAAACCCAGTAAAGAAGATTATACCAATCCAAAGGCATACAGACCCATTGGCTTGCTACCAGTACTGGGTAAAATACTGGAAAAACTTTTTACGAATAGAATCCAGTGGCAGTTAGGAAAAGACGAAAAATTGAACCAGAGACAATATGGATTCACTCCACAGAGAAGCACGGAGGATGCGCTATATGATACTATTACACTAATTAAGAATGGACTTAAGAAGAAAGAAATAGTCATAATAGTGTCATTAGATATTGAGGGCGCATTCGATAATGCATGGTGGCCTGCTATTATCACTGAACTTAAAAACAAACAGGTTGAACCTATGGTGTTAAGACTCATAATTAGCTACTTATCAGATCGTGAAATAAACTTAAGTTACGCAAACGAAAAGATCACTATAAAAACCAATAAAGGATGTATTCAAGGATCAACTTGCGGTCCCATGCTGTGGAATATCCAACTTGATCCCCTATTACAGGCAACGGAAAACGCGGGAGCTCACGTTCAAGCCTTTGCGGACGACATCTTAATAATAGCCTCGAACAAAGATGGCCAAAAACTTGAAAAGGATGTTAATGATACACTTAAAACAATAGTAGAGTGGGGACAAAGACACAAGCTTAAATTTGCCCCACATAAGACTCAAAGTACAATAATTACCAAAAAGCATAAATTCCATTGTCCCAAACTGCTAATGGATGGTGTAACCTTAACATATATAGATCAAATCAAAATTTTAGGACTAATTATTGATAAAAACTTTAACTTTAAGCCACATTTAGATTATGTTTGCAGTAAAGCAGTTCGACTCTACAAAATGGTATCAAGAGCAGCAAGAGCGCAATGGGGTCTCAACTCGGACATAGTAAGAACCATCTACCAGGCTGTAGTTGAACCAACTATTTTGTATGCTGCGAGCTGCTGGGCAGAAGCCACAAATAAAAAATACATAAGCCGAATGCTCAATAGGCTTACACGAATGTTTAGCATTCGTATTTGCAAAGGCCATAAAACCATTTCCCTTGTTTCCAGTGCGCTACTAGCTCAGATTATACCTCTAGCGCTACGAGCCAAGGAAAACGCCGAATTGTACGAAATCAAAAGAGGCAAGCCCATTGAGTCACTCCCTGGGAGACAATTGGAAATGAGAATCAGTCCTTTCCACTTACCACACCCCTCACTAAGAACCAAGAGGGAGTACAAGCTAATAACCTGCCAAGAAGACATCGATCAAATTGACAATGACTGGCCAAAGCTTTATACAGACGGCAGTAAAATAGACAATAAGGTAGGTGCGGCTGTTTCAGTATGGCAAAATGGAACGGAAACCAAAACCATCACCTGTAGGCTCGAAAGCTACTGCAGCGTATACCAAGCCGAGCTAATTGCAATTTTGAAGGCAGTTACATATATGTTAGAAAAGAAAAACCTTAAAGCCAACATCCTTAGTGACTCTAGATCGGCAGTAATAACTCTTTGTAATCCTACGTCACTTAATCCTATTGCAGCTGAAATTTCATCGAAGCTCAATACTATCGAAAATAAATAGGGAAAAGTCCAGATATACTGGATAAAAGCTCATTGTGGCTTAGTAGGTAATGAGAGAGCAGATGAGCTGGCTAAATATGCCGCTACTAGCAAAAAAACAGAGGGCAATTTATGACTTATTCCCATTGTCTTACGCCAAGCACCTCACCAGGAGCAGCACTCTGCTAAGATGGCAAATCAAATATGAAGAGGCAGCAACCAGTGGAACCATAAGAACTTTCTTCCCAAATGTTATAACTGCTTATAAGATTTTAAAAAGTATAAAAATAACTAATATTGTAACTCAATTGTTTACCGGTCACGGTGGTAATAAAGCTTATCTTTTTAGATTTAAGATTTTGCCATCCCCATATTGCACATGCGATGATAGTACAGAACAAACCATAGAACATTTAATTACAGAATGTCCGCGATTTGGAAAACAACGATATGAGTGTGAATGCAATATGGGAGTGAATATAGTATGTAAGAACTTAAGTACTATTATGACGGACATCGATTGCAGATCTCACTTCATACACTTTGCTCTCTCAATACTTAAGGTTATTAACAAAGAGAATGGGAGCACTATAGTAGAATAAATTTATGTCTCTGTAAAGTCCCTACAATAAAACCATTATGAATGTGAATTTAACTAAAGTAATAATAATGAACTAATAATAATATGATATAAGCATACATTTTGATAACGTTAGGCTAATAATAACTTGCAAGTAGTAGAATGTTTAAAAGTAAGCTAAAACAGATTATCTTAACAATTGTTATTAAATAGGATAAATAAGTGTAGATAAACTGTACAAAGTAACAAAGCAATAACCATTATAACCGGAACACTATGCTTAAAAATAATTGCAAGTTAGTTTAAACAAAGCCTCATGTTAAGAATTAAGAATATTATTAAAATTAGGCCCAAAACAAAAGTACATTATTTATTTAAGGTGACATTATTGTAAAATTAGGAATTGTTCATAAGAGACAAATTAAAAGATACAAAGTAATAACATTATAAAGTCTGAAACAGTATACCTATACATAGAACTATATTCAGAATTGTTATAAAATTAGATTAATTATAGAAGATAATATTATGATAACTGTAAAAAGAACATGTAATAGTATATTGAAACAATGTGTAAACGGAACGGAACTATTTAAGTATATATATATATATAATATAAGTATTAAAAAAAAAAAAAAAAAAAAAAAAAAAAAAAAAAAACCATTGATAACATTAAAAAAAAGGATTATCTTCAACAGAAAGAAAGGTACTGCAGAATAGCAGTAGTAAAATAGTATTAATAAAAAAAAAAAAAAAAAAAAACCTAACCTAACCTAACCTAACCTAACCTAACCTAACCTAACCTAACCTAACCTAACCTAACCTAACCTAACCTAACCTAACCTAACCTAACCTAACCTAACCTAACCTAACCTAACCTAACCTAACCTAACCTAACCTAACCTAACCTAACCTAACCTAACCTAACCTAACCTAACCTAACCTAACCTAACCTAACCTAACCTAACCTAACCTAACCTAACCTAACCTAACCTAACCTAACCTAACCTAACCTAACCTAACCTAACCCGAAGATGAAAGAGGCGCGGCATATAACACCTTCCTCAATGAAATGGATCTCCATATTCTGAACACGGGTGACACGCCTACCTTCGAAACATACAGAAGGGGGAGAATTTGTTCGAGCATAGTAGACGTCACTGCTTGCAGTTCGTCACTTCTCGGCAATGTGGAGGACTGGAGAGTGGAGAGAAGCCTAATTACATCAGACCACAACGCGATTATGTTTACACTGCGCACCAAAGCGGTCTTGACACAATTACGGCCCTGCACAACGCGCAAATACAACACCAGAAAGGCAAACTGGTCGGACTTCTCAACACGCTTTAGATCCCTTCTAAAAGAAAGAGCCATAACTCCCACACTAATTGAGGAGGCGGAAATCCATGACGATCTGGAATCCATCACAATAGCCTACACAAAAGCAATCCAGGAATCTTGTGATGAGACTATTCCGAAAATGGGCATGAGGGGGGGTGAATGCAACGCCCCCATGGTGGTCAAAATCCCTCAACCAACTCAAAAAAGAAGTCCATAGGAAAAAAAGACGTATTAGAAATGCGGCACCAAGTCGAAGACAACACGTAATAGACGAATACATAAGTTTTAAACAACAATACACCATAAAAGTTGAGGAGGCGCAAACCGAAAGCTGGAAGGAATTCTGCACGACACAGGAAAGGGAGAGCATGTGGGATAAAATTTACAGAGTTATCCGGAAATCCTCAAGAAGATATGAGGACATGCTCCTAAGAAACATCCAAGGGGAAACTCTGACACCAAAAGAGTCGGCAGAACTCTTGGCCCAAACATTTTACCCTGACGACTGTGTGGAAACAGATCAGCCATACCACACCAAAATACGAGAGCTGACGGAAATTAACAAAGACCTAGGTTTGTCAGAAGATGACCCACCTTTTGCAGAAGCGGAGCTTGAATCAGTGTTACAAACACTAAACCCCAAAAAGGCCCCTGGACCAGACGGGCTAACAGCTGACATCTGCTCCGCTGCAATAAACTGCAACAGGAAAGTATTCTTAGCGATAGCCAACAAGTGCTTGAAATTGGCATACTTTCCCAAGCAGTGGAAAACTGCACATGTGGTCATCATCCGTAAGCCAGGAAAGGATGACTATACACATCCAAAGTCATACCGACCAATAGGTCTCCTGTCAGTACTCGGAAAAATAGTCGAGAAGTTGATGGTGGGCCGACTCCAGTGGTACATCCTCCCAACCCTTAATAAAAACCAGTATGGGTTCATGCCTCAACGTGGTACAGAGGACGCCCTCTATGATCTATTGAAATACATCAAAAACGAAGCGAGGAATAAGAAGATCGTCCTTGTTGTTTCATTAGATATAGAGGGAGCCTTTGACAACGCATGGTGGCCAGCATTAAAACTGCAACTAGCCAAAAAGAAATGTCCCAAAAACCTCTACGATATGGTTGGCTCTTACCTTCAAGATCGAAAAATCGTAATTAACTATGCCAGAGCAACGAGTGAGAGGGGAACTACGAAGGGGTGTGTTCAAGGATCTATCGGTGGACCAACCTTTTGGAATGTTATCCTAGACTCACTGCTGCACCAACTTACGAACGAAGGGGTGTATTGTCAGGCATTTGCAGATGACGTCATCTTGGTGTTCTCGAGTCACTCAACGAGTGCCCTGGAGCAACAGGCCAATGACACTCTAAAAAGAGTAAAGAAGTGGGGAACCCAGAACAAGC